TGAGCCTCATTGGCGTTGTGTGCGCATGAGTGGAATGAGCATGAACTAGTATGGAATGATGGAATTGCAGCCGGCAGGCTGAGGAGGAGTGTGTTGGGTGCAAATTCAGTTTGCACGACATCTTGCCGTCTGTTTGTATGAGTATGCGTGTGCGAATGTATTTGCGTGTGAATGGTGTGTTCGTGTGTTTGTTTGCTTTCGCAATTTTTGCTTGAAGCATTTGCAGGTACTCGCGCAATGTGCGCTTCGGCACAACATTGTACGCGCTATGAACAGTGCAAGCAGAAAGGACGAGCTTGCAAAGGAACCCAAGATGGAAGCTTTGCAGTTCGGTTGAATTGATTGCGCAGATTCAGTTCTATCCAACTCGAAATTGTACTGTATTGTTTGGTTAACTATAGTGTAGCAGGGCAGGCACTATAGGGGTACAATTTAGGTAAAGGTTGGATGTTGTTTGTCTGTATCTGCATGCTACAAGGCCAGGGGAAACCAGCAGAACCAGCATTTGGCTGGTTGGGCAAAGACAAAACAGGTTCTGTTTTTAGAACCTGAACCTGGTTGTTGTTTTCCCAGGTTGGAAAAACAGAACCAGAGGTTGTTTACCAGCCTACCACCTGCTATTTTGTCTAGCCAGGTTGGTTCTGTTGCTTGGAATTATTTGGGATCATCCCTGGTTGTTCCCAGGATGATTCCCAAGGTCCTTGCTAGCTAGAACTATTTAGTCCTTCTCTGTTTGTACCTGGACATAGTCAATTGATTCATGCGAATTCCTTCCTCGCTGGAATTTCATTTCTACGCGGTTCGTTGGCGGAATGCTACCCGAGTCAACGCTAGTACGCTAGCACCCTAATGCTAGGCAAATACCGTCCGAGCCATAACTTTGTAATGGCAGAACATTTCGCGAGGCAACTTGGCTTATTTTAAAGATCTTGGAGCAAGCTTCGATATAGCGAATTCTCAGCTTAATCCGATCGACGGTCTGCACGGCACGCTGCGCGACGTTCAAGGTACTCTTGCTGTTTTGACTAAGTCCTTCTTGATCCCTCTCTCTACAAACTCGGACCCGAGGATAGGGGCTGGTCTTGTACCAGGCACCCAGGGACCCTTGGAGGTGACCCCGAGGAGAGGTATTAAGTTTGATTAAGTCCTAATAGCTTGAGTTTAGCTGCCCAACCGAGAAAGAGATGTCGGGCCTCGTGTGAACTGCTGCATACAAGAGGCTGCCCACCAAGGACTGAAATTTCTGCTGCTCCTCGGCTTCAACCCCTTCATCCTCTGCAGCCTTTACAAGGTTGAACTCACCTGGCAGGGGAGTTGCAATCTTGCGCTCATATTCAATTCCATACTTCTTCCCCAGCTGCTTGACAAGCTTTTCTTGGTGCAGCTTTAACCACCTGTGATCCAGGTCCCTCTTCACGTGCATCCCGAAGTAGTACTTAACCTTCCCAAGGGTCTTGCATTTGAAGTTCTCCATCAGCTGCTGCTGCACTTTCTGGATCTCCTTCATGCTGCTGCTGAAGAGAAGAATGTCGTCCACGTAGACCAGAAACAGCACCAACTCCTCTCCCTCCCCCTTGAGAAAGAGGCTCTCATCACAGCTGCTGGTCCTGAATCCCATCTCCTCTAAAACAGCTGCCAACTTCTGGTACCAGCAGCGTGGCGCCTGCTTCAAGCCGTAGATGGACTTGTTAAGCGTGCACACCCCGCCCGTACCATCCTCATACCCAGGCGGCTGCGTCATGTACACATCCTCCTCTAATGTTCCGTTGAGAAATGCCGTTGATATATCCATCTGAATGATAAATTTCCCACTAACGGCTGCATCTGCCAACAAGACATGGAGGGTAGGGGGTTTGGCAGTGGGAGCAAAGATCTCATCGAAGTCCCTCATCTCCTTCTGCTGAAACCCGTTGGCCACCAACCTACTCTTGTAGATGGTGACCTGCCCCTTGTCATCGGTCTTAATCCTCAACACACTCTTGCACTGTAAGGCTTTCTTCCCCTCAAGCAGCACCACCAGATCCCATGTCCCATTTCTAGCTGGCTCAGATACTCGGCATCCCTAGAAGCCAGCCACTTATCCCTATCTGGTCCAGCTAGTGCCTCCTCCATGCTAGCTGGTTCCTCTGATGCAGGGGCAAGAAAACAGTAGGCAGGTTCATCATGCTCATTCCAAGCTGCTGCTCTGCTACATCAGCTCCTGCAGTCAGCTTCATTGTTGCCATGCGGGTGCGTCCTGGCCTAGAGACGGGTGTCTCCCATCCCTTCATAACGACACCCTTCAGCTTCCTCCTTTGTGGTAGCTTAGGCACCTTAGCTTTGCCCTGCTGCTGCTCTCCTCCCTCAGATCCAGCAGCTTCCCTGGTGCCACTAGTCTCCACATCATCTCCTCCACCAGCAGGTGCCTCTTGCACCTTCTCTCCATCACCACCCTCTGCAGCTGCCTCCTCTCCCTCCTCCCACACACTAGGAGTCAGGTCCAGCTGCATGGTAATCTGCTCCATCCGCTGGAACACCCCGGTGTTTCTCCCAGCTCCCATACATCATGCCCTCAACAAACTTCACATCCCTGCTGTCAAACAACACACCCTTGGATGGTTCCCACAACAGCCATCCCTTGCTCTCAGCAGCCAGCCCTAAATGCACTCACCAGATTGCACTCGCCCCCAACTTACTGCGGTAGGTCTTGGGGACGTGGGCGACTGCCATGCAACCAAACACCTTCAGCATGTCCACCGGCGGCTTCCTCCCAAGCCACCTCTCCAACGGCACCAAAGAGTCATCCCCAACCTTGGTGAGCACCCTGTTCCTAGCCACGGTAGCGTGCCGAACAGCATGGGGCCACATGGAAATGCTCAGCCTAGATTCTATATGCAGCGCCTTAGCTGTCTCCAGAATTGTCCAGTTCGCCCGTTCTGCTACACCGTTGGACTGTGGGGTGTAAGCCATGGTCAGCTCCCTCTGGATGCCCTGCTTCTTGAGCCAGGCTGTCATTTCAGCTCCAAGGAACTCACCACCTCGGTCTGTCCTAATCCGCTTCACTACACACTCCGCTTGCTTCTCCACAAATGGCAGCCAATCGTCCCGTATCGTGGAGGCGGCGTGGTCCTTCTGCTTCAGCGGAAACGCTCACATCAGCCTGCTCCAATCATCCACTATGGTTAGGAAATACCGCTCCCCCTTGTGCCCTTGCACTGGCAGCGGCCCCACCAAGTCCATGTGGACCAGCTCCAAAGGCTTCTTGCTCCTGCCAGCCACACTGTTGAAGGGGAAACGGGAAAACTTTGAGAGAATATAAGTTTCACAGTTGTCATCGGGTGGCTATCCGTTCAGCTTCAGACCCTTTACTGCTCCATCCTTCTCAAACTGCTCCAACAACGGCATTGCTACATGCCCCAAGCACCGGTGTGCCGTTGCCCAATCTGTCTCCCCAGATCTGGCCGACACTTTCACACCAACCCCTCCAACGGCGTTGCACTCCCCCTAGGATGCAGACCCCTCTCCAGCCTGCCCCCCACCGTGCCACGCCAACGCTGGCAGCTTCCACATAGATCTGTATACATCCTTGCTTTCGTGTAGATCCCAAAGCACCCGATTTCACAGCTGCCCCTTATACGTACGAGCCCCATCCGTGCTAGTGCTCACCCCAGCCTTGGCAAGCTTACGGAGGGAGATGAGGTTGGCCTTGAGGTCGGGGACGAGGAGAACGTCGTGCAGCACCACCGGCTTGCCATCCGCTCCCTTAAACGCAGCTCGTCCCGCACCAGCCACCTTCAACGCGTGTCCAGAGACGGAGCACACCTCATTGATTGATGCAGCGTGTTACGTCGTTCAGCAGCGCCCGTGTCCAACACCCAAAAGTCCAGGGGGTGCAGCTCTGCTCCAACCTTGGCAGAGCCGACATGGAAGAACTGGCCCGCGTCGCGCTCCTTCTTCTTCTCAGCACCGCCGTTGCCCTTCGGGTTATTGTCGGACGAATCAGCGACCATGCTTGCGCCGTTTTTCTGGTTCTTCCGCGCGCCGCCATCCTGTCAAACATTATATATGTTGTATTTGTGTAGGCTGTAGTGGGTTAGCCTATAGGGGGGTCACAACATTAGGGTTTCATATTTGTACTCACAATCCTTGCTAGTTCATCATTCCAGTCCGTTATTTCTGACATGGTATCAGAGCAGGTCCTTCGCTAGGACCGTTCTTAGGGCCCACCGTTACCTACCTACCTACCGTGCGCCTCGTGCGCCTACGCGCCCTCGTGCGCCTCCTACCTACCGCGCGCGCGCAGCCCGCCAGCCGCCCGCGCGCGACTCGACTTTTTTTTTTTGGCGCGCGCGTATACCGCTAGCCGCCCGCGCGCGGTCGATTTCGCTGCGCGCGCCCCGCTAGCCGCACGCGCGCGGCTGTTTTCTTTACGCGCGGCCCCGCACGCTGCCCGCGCGCTGCCTGTGCGCCTCGCTGACGCGCCCGCTGCTGCAGCCGCCCGTCGCCCGCTCGCGCGCACCCCGCCGTGGCCCCGCAGGCCCGCAGCTCGCCGCCGCAGCTGCCGCACGCCCGTTGCCCGCAGCCGCCCGTCCGCCGACGCCGCTGCCGCCCGTGCACCGATGTCGCTGCCACCCGTGCGCTGCTGCCGCTGCTGCTTGCGCACCGCTCGCTGCTGCAGCCGCCCGTGCGCTGTCGGCGCTGCTGCCCGTGCGTATAAGCCCGTCGCCTGCTCGCGCACGCCCCGCTGCCCGCAGCCGCTCGTACGCCGCTGCTTCCGCTGCTGCTTGCGCACTGCTGCCTCCCGAGCGCCGCCGCTGCCTGTGCGCCGCCGCTGCTAGTGCGCCGTCGCTGCTCCTACGCTGCCGCTGCCCGTGCGCTGCCGCTGCCCGTGCACCGCCGTTCCCCGTGCGCCGCTGCCGCCCGTGCGCTTCTGCAGCCGCCGCCCGCGAGGCACTCGCTCTCACTGTTGTTTATTTTCTACCTACCGTACTACTGCTACTACTGCTACTGCTACTGTCGCCATGGCTAGTCCGCCAGTTCTAGCTTTCGATGCCGAGGGCCGTCCAGTGAAGTTCGAAACCTGGCTAGATGACCTGCACCTGTTCCTACAGCTCACTGCCAAGGAAGACATCTCACTGTACGACCACGCCCTAGGCCATGCCACTGCCCCTGACTCGTCTGCTGACAGCACTCTGCGTTCTCAGTGGCAGACCCGTGATGCGCACGCTCGCTTTGCTATTCGCAACTCCCTGCCACTAGACGAGCGCGAGCACTTCGGCCAGTGCAAGACTGCTAAGGACCTCTACACCGCTGTAGTTGCCCGCTACTCCTCACCCGCTTCTGCCACGCTAGGCCGCCTCACTCTCCCCTACCTGTTCCCTGACCTAGCCTCCTTTCACACTGTCGCAGACCTCATCACCCACCTTAAGACTAGTGAGGCCCGCTTTCGCGCTGCTATGCCTGCCGAGTTTCTCACTAGCAACCCCCCCCCGCTCTGGATCACTCTCTACCACATCGTCACCCGCCTCCCTGACTCTCTGCGCGCAGTCAGGGACCACTTCCTCTCTCGCTCCCCCACTGAGCTCACTGTTGCCCTCCTCGAGAAGGAACTGCTTGCAGCTGAGGCGAGCATCGTCGCTGTAGGCACCTCTCGTGGTGACCCCCGCACCCCGTTCTTTGAGGGGTGTTCCCCTTCCCCCCTCCTCCCCTCTGTCGCCTCTGCTGCTGCTGTCGACCTTCTTGGTGCTGAGAAGGTCGGGACCGCGTCTGCTTCGAGTGGGCGCCGCAGGAACAAGGGGGGCAGGGGTGGGGGTGGCGGCGGAGGAGGTGGGGGTGGAGGCGGTGGGAGTGGAGGCGCGGCTGGGGAGACTAGTGGCGGCAGTGGGGGAGGAGACAGCGGCGGTGGGAGTGGTGGTGGAGGCGGCAGCGGAGGCGGAGGTGGTCGTGGCGGCGGCAGGGGTGGAGGTGGCCGGGGCGGCGGCGGTGGGGGTGGTGGTCGTGGAGGCACTGGCGGAGGGCAGAGTCAGCAGCCCGCCCCGACGCTTCAGGCCGCCCGTGAGTGGTATGCGCAGCGTAGCGTTACCTGCACGTACGTCATTCGCACAGGTGACCGCAGCGGCCAGCAGTGTGGGAGGCCGCACCCCACGCAGCGCTGCTTCGCGCGCCTTAACGACGCGTGGCGCACTCAGTTTCCTGCTGCCACTGAGCTGCCGCGCTGGGCTGATCTGGAAAAGAGGGGTGTTGATATTTGGGCTTTAGACTTTGATGCTATTCTCACTGCCATGTATGCAATGTCTATTAGTGGAGAGGGTGCTCAGTACTTGCGTGTTCCGCCCGACCCGGGCATTCAGGCCAGTCCGGCTGCCGCTCTAGGTGCTAGTGCGTCTGCTCCCACAGGTCCTGGTGAGGCTGCAGCCCTAGGTGCTCGTGCGTCCGTGCCCCCTGGTACTGAGTCGACTGCAGCACTGCACACCTTCACACTGGACTCAGGTGCTTCTCGCTCCTTCTTTCGTGACCGCACTGTCCTTGAGCCACTCGCTCGGCCAGTTGCTGTCTCCCTTGCTGACCCCTCTGGGGGTCCGGTCATTGCGACCTCCTCCACTGTCCTTCCTTGTCCGGCGGTCCCGTCCGGCACGCTGTCAGGTCTCTACCTCCCCTCGTTCTCTACGAACTTGGTGGCAGGTAGTGCGCTCCAGGACGGGGGTGTTCACCAGTTCACCCCTGCCTACGAGCGCGTGACACACTGCACGTGTGCTCGGACGGGTCGCCACCTGGCTACCTTCACTCGGGAGCCGGGGTCGGACCTTTACACACTGACCACTGAGTCCCCTCAGGTAGCTGCGTCCGCGTCTGCGTCAGCGTCAGGTCAGCTGTCCGCCCCCTGCTCGTGTCGCTCTCTGGCGCATGAGACTGTCCTTTGGCACCACCGCCTTGGCCACCCGTCTGTGCAGCGCCTTCGGGCCATGCACAAACGGGACCTTGTTGCTGGTCTTCCCAGGGTGCTCCCTCCCCTTCCCGACTCGCCTGCTCCTCCCTGTATTCCCTGTGTCGAGGGACGGCAGCGCGCCGTTCCTCACTCCTCCTCCTTTCCCCCGACAACTGCTCCCTTGCAGACGCTCCCTTGCGCGCCAAGGGTGACGTCCCTGATGTCTTGATCCCTTGGATCCGCAGATCTCGTCTCCAGCTCCGTGAGCGTTTCCGCTCCGACTTCCCTGTCCTGCGTCTGCACTCTGACAGAGGTGGGGAGTTTTCCTCTGGCCTATTGGAGGCCTTTTGTCAGCAGGAGGGCATTGAGCAGTCGTACACGCTTCCGGCCTCTCCACAGCAGAATGGGGTTGCTGAGCACCGCATTGGTCTGGTCATGGAGGTCGCTCGTACCTCCTTGAGCCATGCAGCTGCCCCCCATTTTCTGTGGCCGTTTGCAGTCCGATACGCTGCGCATCAGCTCAACCTCTGGCCCCGTGTCTCCTTGCCCGAGACTTCTCCGACACTGCGTTGGACGGGAGAGGCTGGCGATGCGTCGCGTTTTTGGGTCTGGGGATCCCGAGCTTTTGTCCGCGACGCGTCCGCGGACAAGCTCTCCCGTCGCGCTGTCCCCTGCGTCTTCCTTGGCTTTGTCCCGGACGCCCCTGGCTGGCAGTTCTACCACCCCACCTCGCGTCGTGTCCTGGCCTCTCAGGACGTCACTTTTGACGAGTCCGTCCCCTACTACCGCCTCTTCCCCTACCGCACTGCCCCACTCCCCCCCCCGCCTCTCTTCCTCGCTCCAGGTGCAGAGGTACCAGACCCCCTCCCCCCTCAGGGTGCCGCTCCCTCAGGTGTGTCCCAGGTAGACCCGGGTGAGCCTGTCGAGGTAGCTGTTGACTCTCGTCCTGCTAGGGGTGCTGAGCCTGGGGGTGCTGCGTCTGGGGGTGCTGAGCCTGGGGGTGCTGCGTCTGGGGGTGCTGAGCCTGGGAGTGCTGGGTCTGGGGGTGCGGAGCCTGGGGGTGCTGAGCCTGGAGGTGCGGAGCCTGGAGGTGCTGAGTCTGGGGGTGCTGAGTCTGGGGGTGCTGAGCCTGCGCGTACTACACCTGGAGGAGCCCTCTCCTCCCAGCAGCTGCAGGAGAGGTACCTCGAGTACTGCCGCCTCCGGAGAGGTGCTCCTGGAGCTCGTCCCGGTACTTTCCCTCCTACCCAGGAGCTCCCCCCCATTCAGCAGATCCGCGAGTGGTACACACGGCGCTGCAGTCTTCGGAGTGGTGCTCCTGGTGCTGCGGACCCTGGGGGTGGCGCTGCTGCTGGTGCTGCGGACCCGCCTGGTGGAGCTGCTGCTGGTGCTGAGGACTCGGACGTTGGAGCTGCTGCTGGAGCTGAGGACCCGGGCGGTGGCGCTGCTGCTGGTGCTGAGGACTCGGACGGTGGAGCTGCTGCTGGTGCTGAGGACCCGAGCGGTGGCGCTGCTGCTGCTGCTGAGGACCCGGGCGTTGGAGCTACTACTGGTGCTGAGGACCCGGCCGGTGGAGCTGCTGCTGGTGCTGTGGACCCGGACGCTGGAGCTCCTACTGGTACTGAGGACCCGGCCGCTGGAGTCTCTTCTGCTTCTGGAGACGCTGCGCGGCCGCGACCGTACTTCGTACCGCTCCTTCAGCAGGTTCTTGGGCAGGCTCCTCCTCCTTGTCCTCCTCCCTCCGTAGAGTGTCCTCCGCCTGTCCAGCCGCAGTCACAGTTACTGCCTACCTCGCCTCTCCCTGCTCCCTCTCCTTACACTAGTCCCACAGGAGGTCTTACAGAGCGTCGTGAGCCTGAGTCTCGTCCTGTGTCGCCTGTTCGTCCTGCTCGCACTGGTAGTCGTGTCCGTCGTGAGCGTCCTCCTCCTGTCCCAGGCACTCACTACATGACTCTGCGTCCCTCTACTGCTCCTCAGCGTGTCCCTCTACCGTCTCCTCCTGCGTCCTCTTTGCCTGACGTTCCGGACCCTGAGTCTGACCGGTTTCGTGCTGAGCACCCTACTGTCATGCGTCTCCTTGCTACTGTTGTCACTGACCCTACCTTTGAGTCCTCGGCTGCGTCTGCTCTGGTCGCTGAGTTGGTTGACTTTGCTGCTGCCTGTCGTCTAGACTACGCTGCTAGCCTTGTTGCTGAGTCTGAGTCTGTCTGTCCTCCGTCCGTCGGGGGTGAGTGTGCTCTTGGCACGGACGTCCTTGAGGACAGACAGGAGGAGTTCCAGTGTCTTGCTGCTGCTTTGCCCCGTCTCGTGTCCTTGCTAGTTGCCCCTGAGGGAGACCCGGATGCACCAGACATCCCGACCCCGCGCACTTACGCTGAGGCGATGGCGGGTCCCTACTCCTCTCAGTGGCAGACAGCCATGGACGCCGAGATGGCTTCCTGGAAGTCCACACGCACCTACATCGACGAGGTTCCCCCTCCTGGGGCGAACATCGTCAGTGGCATGTGGATTTTCAGGGTGAAGCGGCCGCCGGGTTCTCCGCCTGTCTTTAAGGCGCGTTACGTGGCTCGAGGCTTCAGTCAGCGAGAGGGAGTTGACTTCTTCCAGACCTTCTCCCCCACCCCGAAGATGACTACTCTTCGGGTGCTGCTGCACATAGCCGCTCACCGCGACTACGAGCTTCACTCGCTTGACTTCAGCACTGCTTTCTTGCAGGGCAGCCTGCACGAGGAGATCTGGCTGCGCCGCCCACCTGGCTTCACTGGGTCGTTTCCTCCTGGTACCCAGTGGAGGCTTCAGCGGCCGGTCTACGGTCTCCGCCAGGCTCCGCGTGAGTGGCACGACACACTGAGGACTACACTTGCGGCTCTTGGGTTCGCGCCTTCTACAGCTGACCCGTCGCTGTTCCTGCGCACCGACACTTCGCTGCCGCCGTTCTACATCCTCGTGTACGTCGACAACTTGGTCTTTGCCACTGCTGACACTGCAGGACTTGCCTACGTGAAGTCGGAGCTGCAGAAGAGACACACGTGCACAGACCTGGATGAGCTGACAAGCTATCTTGGCTTGCGGATCACCCGGGACAGAGCACGGCGCACCATCACCCTGACTCAGTCACACATGGTGCAGCAGGTTCTCCAGCGCTTCTGCTTCAAGTACTCCTCGCCTCAGTCCACTCCTCTGCCTACCGGTCACTCGCTCTCAGCTCTGCCTTCGGATGAGTCCGTAGAGCCGAGTGGCCCGTATCCAGAGCTTGTGGGCTGCCTCATGTACCTGATGACCTGCACTCGACCTGACCTTGCATACCCTCTTAGCATCCTTGCACACTATGTCGCTCCTGGCCGTCACAGGAAGGAGCACATGGATGCCGCTTAGAGGATGTTGCGCTACTTGTGTAGTACGTCGGGCATGGGGCTTGTGCTTGGAGGGCGAGACCGAGTTGTTCTCACAGGGCACTCAGACGCTTCTTGGGCAGACGACCAGGCCACTCAGCGGTCGTCTCAGGGTTACACCTTCAGCCTTGGCTCTGGCTCAGTTTCTTGGCGCTCTACTCGCTCTTCTTCTGTTCTCGGCTCCAGTTGCGAGGCTGAGATCTACGCTACAGCCATGGCTGCCCAGGAGCTACGCTGGCTGACCTACCTGCTGACCGACCTCGGAGAGCGGCCTCGTTCTCCTCCAGTACTGTACGTCGACAACAAGGCTGCCATTGCCTTGTGTGAGGAGCACAGACTGGAGCACAGAACGAAGCACATCGCCCTGCGGTACTTCCTTGCTCGTGAGCTGCAGCAGCGCGGTCAGCTTTGTATTCGCTACGTGGCCACTGAGGCCAACACTGCTGATGTGTTCACCAAGGCGCTTCAGCCTCGTGACCATCAGCGCTTCTGCACTCTACTAGGCCTTGTGCCTACTGGACCTCACTTACTTACCTCTTGACTTTGCTTGTACTGTGATCACTATATATATCTATATCTGCATGTTTACTCTTGCTAGGTTGTGATCACTGTATCTCTTGCTCTGTTATAAACCTGCATGTGAACTGGTCTTGTGACCACTAGCTTGTGCTCGGAATTTGTGTGGAATCCTTGAGATCCACCCTGAGCTTGTTGTTGTCTTGCTTTGCCTTGACTGGTCTTGTGACCCCTAGGTCTCCCCCACTTTGCCTATGGGGGTGTGTCAAACATTATATATGTTGTATTTGTGTAGGCTGTAGTGGGTTAGCCTATAGGGGGGTCACAACATTAGGGTTTCATATTTGTACTCACAATCCTTGCTAGTTCATCATTCCAGTCCGTTATTTCTGACACATCCTGGTGACGATTCTGGGGGGTCCATCCATCGGGTTTCTTACAACACAAACACCAGGGATGCCCCTCTTTCTTACAATACCAGCAACTCCCATTTATTTTGCCACCAGCACCTGACTTGCCCCCACGTCCAGATTTCGCACCGCGACCCCAACCGGTACCTCCTTGTTGGTCGTTGGAGTCGTCTTCGTTTTTTTTTTTTTTTGTTGGTTGTTTTTTGTTCGTTCTTTTGCTCTTTTTAACAACTTCCAGAATTCTCATCCGCACCCACTGGAGCGTCCACAAGCTCTGGTTCTGCGGCAGGCAAAGTCCGCGCGTAAATTGAAGCCATGATTTTGGCAGCAGCGAGAGCATCTTCAAGCACTTGGTCTGCTCCGGGTAGGTGATTCCCGCGGTCGCCAACTTTGCGTAGAGGTCGCGCATCTTGTCCAGGACTGGTTGCACCAGCTCTCCCTCGCTCAGGCGCAACGCGGACAGCTCCCTCTCCATCATGAGCGTCGCAGCGACGGAGGTAGGGGCGTGCAGCTCCTTCAACACGGTCCACGCCTTTGGACCACAACCAGCTTCTGGTAGCTGGTGCATGATCTTAGTGTAAGGGCCTAAAAAACTCAGGCTATTAAGACTTAATCAAACTTAATACCTCTCCTCGGGGTCACCTCCAAGGGTCCCTGGGTGCCTGGTACAAGACCAGCCCCTATCTTCGGGTCCGAGTTTCTAGATAGAAAAATCGAGACGGACTTAATGAAAGCAGCAAGACCTCTCCTCGGGGTCACCTTGAACGTCGCGCAGCGTGCCGTGCAGATCATCGATATGATTAAGCTGGGATATTCCTTGTATCAAAGCTCGCTTTAAGAGCTTTGAAGTAAGCCAAGTAGCCATGGCTCGGATAGTGTGTGCCTAGCGTTGGAGTGCTAGCGTACTAGCGTTGACTCGGTAGCATTCCGCCGTCGAACTGCACAGAATCGAAATTCCAGCAAGGAAGGAATCCGCTTGAATCAATTTACTATATTCAGGTACAAATAGAGAAGGAATAAATAGTTCTAGCTAGCAAAGACCTTGGGAATCAACCTGGGAACAACCACGGATGATCCCAAATAATTCCAAGCAATAGAACCAACCTGGCTGGACAAAATAGCAGGTGATAGGTTGGTAAACAACCTCTGGTTCTGTTTTTCCAACCTGGTTTAACAACAACCAGGTTCAGGCCCTAAAAACAGAACCTGTTTAGTCTTTGCCCAACCAACCAAATGCTGGTTCCGCTGGTTTTCCCTGGCCCTGTAGCATGCAGATACAGACAAACAACATCCAACCTTCACCTAAATTGTACCCCTATAGTGCCTGCCCTGCTACACTATAGTCAACCAAGCAAAACAGTACAATTTCGAGTTGGATAAAACTGAATCTGCGCAATCAATTTAACCGAACCGCAAAGCTTCCATCTTGGGTTCCTTTGCGAGCTCGTCCTTTCTGCTTCCACTGTTCATAGCGCGTACAATGTTGTGCCGAAGCGCACATTGCGCGAGTACCTGCAAATGCATCAAGCGAAAATTGCGAAAGCAAACAAACACACGAACATTCCATTCACACCCAAATGCATTCACACACACATACTCGTACAAACAGACGGCAGGATGTCGTGCAATATGAATTTGCACCCAACACACTCCCCCTCAGCCTGCCGGCTGCATCCTCATCATTCCATGCTAGTTCATGCTCATTCCTCTGATGCGTATACAACGCCAACGAGGCTCATCAGCAAGCCTCTTGGTGAGGAAGTCTGCTGGCTGCTGGTGAGTCTTGATGTAGATCGGATTCACCGTCCCCCTCTTCACCTCCTTACGCAGCCAGTGTCACTTGATACGCATGTGCTTGTTCAGCCTATGAAGCACAGCGTTCCTGGCCATCCCAAGAGCCCCCTTGCTATCACAAAACAGCGGCGTAGCAACCTTCTGCTCCTGACCAATCTCCTCTGCCAAATCACCTCCTTCACCCAATGGAACATCGCCATGTACTCTGATTCCACAGAGGAGAGTGCCGTCTTGGTCTCCTTCTTGGACCTCCTACTAACAGGTCCTCCCCCAACTACGCAGATGTATCCTCCCACAAATGAGGAATCCTCCTTCTCAGAAGCCCAAGTAGCATCGGTAAAGCAAGTTAGAAAGAGCTTGCCTTCTCCAAGCCGCTCCCCCTTCTCCTTCAGCACCTCAACCCCTTTCTGCTTCACCTGTGCAGATGCGGAGTATTGAACTCCAATGGTTGGGTGAGAGTTTAGGTACTTCACCACACGTTCAGCTGCATCCACCTGCTCCTCAGATGGATTCTGCACTACCCTTGTCAGCTGCCCAACTGATAAAGAGATGTCGGGCCTCATGTGAACTGCTGCATACAGGAGGCTGCCCACCAAAGACTGAAATTGCTGCTGCTCCTCGGCTTCAACCCCTTCATCCTCTGCAGCCTTTACAAGCTTGAACTCACCTGGCAGGGGAGTTGCAATCTTGCGCCCATACTCAATTCCATACTTCTTCCCCAGCTGCTTGACAAGCTTTTCTTGGTGCAGCTTTAACCACCTGTGATCCAGATCCCTCTCCACGTGCATCCCGAAGTAGTACTTAACCTTCCCAAGGGTCTTGCATTTGAAGTTCTCCATCAGCTGCTGCTGCACTTTCTGGATCTCCTTCATGCTGCTGCTGAAGAGAAGAATGTCGTCCACGTAGACCAGAAACAGCACCAGCTCCTCCCCCTCCCCCTTGAGAAAGAGGCTCTCATCACAGCTGCTGGTCCTGAATCCCATCTCCTCTAAAACAGCTGCCAACTTCTGGTACCAGCAGCGTGGCGCCTGCTTCAAGCCGTAGATGGACTTGTTAAGCGTGCACACTTCGCCCGTACCATCCTCATACCCTGACGGCTGCGTCATGTACACCTCATCCTCTAATGTTCCGTTGAGAAATGCCGTTGATATATCCATCTGAATGATAAATTTCCCACTAACGGCTGCATCTGCCAACAAGACATGGAGGGTAGGGGGTTTGGCAGTGGGAGCAAAGATCTCATCGAAGTCCCTCATCTCCTTCTGCTGAAACCCGTTGGCCACCAACCTACTCTTGTAGATGGTGACCTGCCCCTTGTCATCGGTCTTAATCCTCAACACACTCTTGCACTGTAAGGCTTTCTTCCCCTCAAGCAGCACCACCAGATCCCATGTCCCATTTCTAGCTGGCTCAGATACTCGGCATCCCTAGAAGCCAGCCACTTATCCCTATCTGGTCCAGCTAGTGCCTCCTCCATGCTAGCTGGTTCCTCTGATGCAGGGGCAAGAAAACAGTAGGCAGGTTCATCATGCTCATTCCCAAGCTGCTGCTCTGCTACATCAGCTCCTGCAGTCAGCTTCATTGTTGCCATGCGGGTGCGTCCTGGCCTAGAGACGGGTGTCTCCCATCCCTTCATAACGACACCCTTCAGAATCCTCCTTTGTTGTAGCTTAGGCACCTTAGCTTTGCCCTGCTGCTGCTCTCCTCCCTCAGATCCAGCAGCTTCCCTGGTGCCACTAGTCTCCACATCATCTCCTCCACCAGCAGGTGCCTCTTGCACCTTCTCTCCATCACCACCCTCTGCAGCTGCCTCCTCTCCCTCCTCCCACACACTAGGAGTCAGGTCCAGCTGCATGGTAATCTGCTCCATCTGCTGGAACACCCCGGTGTTTCTCCCAGCTCCCATACATCATGCCCTCAACAAACTTCACATCCCTGCTGTCAAACAACACACCCTTGGATGGTTCCCACAACAGCCATCCCTTGCTCTCAGCAGCCAGCCCTAAATGCACTCACCAGATTGCACTCGCCCCCAACTTACTGCGGTAGGTCTTGGGGACGTGGGTGACTGCCATGCAACCAAACAGCCTCAGCATATCCACCGGCGGCTTCCTCCCAAGCCACCTTTCCAACGGCACCCACGAGTCATCCCCAACCTTGGTGAGCACCCTGTTCTTAGCCACGGTAGCGTGTCGGACAGCATGAGGCCACATGGAATTGCTCAGCCCAGATTCTATAAGCAGCGCCCTAGCTGTCTCCAGAATTGTCCGGTTTGCCCGTTCTGCTACACCGTTGGACTGTGGGGTGTAAGCCGTGGTCAGCTCCCTCTGAATGCCCTGCTTCTTGAGCCAGGCTGTCATTTCAGCTCCAAGGAACTCATCACCTCGGTCTGTCCTAATCCGCTTCACTACACACTCCGCTTGCTTCTCCACAAATGGCAGCCAATCGTCTCGTATCGTGGAGGCGGCGTGATCCTTCTGCTTCAGCGGATACGCCCACATCAGCCTGCTCCAATCATCCACTATAGTTAGGAAATACCGCTTCCCCTTATGCCTTTGCATTGGCAGCAGCCCCACCAAGTCCATGTGGACCAGCTCCAAAGGCTTCTTGCTCCTGCCAGCCACACTGTGGAAGGGGAAACGGGTAAACTTTGAGAGAAAATAAAATTCACAGTTGTCATCGAGTGGCTATCCGTTCAGCTTCAGACCCTTTACTACTCCATCCTTCTCAAACTGCTCCAACAACGGCATTGCTACATGCCCCAAGCACCGGTGTGCTGTTGCCCAATCTGTCTCCCGAGATCTAGCCAACACTTTCACAC